TCCCACGCTTCGACCTCTCTTCACTTTAATTGGCAACTCCTCGGAAGGAAACACTCAGACAGCAGACTGTCTCTTAGTTTCAGGATCATAACAATAAATCCAGCTTTCGTCACCCGTAAGTATATCGAACACAACATTTGATTCACCTCCGTTAAATCTTTGAACCATTTTACGACACCAATCAACACGCCGGAGTTTTTGGGCCTCTGTCAAAATATGAGGTATCCTAAGGGCACAAAACTTCCTGACTGGTAAATGTTCATGGAGAATTTTGTACACTTGACTCGTACCGATGCCTAAGCTTGTCTAAATCTGCTGATGAGTCACTCTTTTGTCATTCTAAATATATATTGGCCCGTCCCTGTGCCGAAAGGCCATTGCTTTCACACGCACAGGTACATTCGTTTCCCAACTGTAAGGTCTTTAAACAATGGGGGAAAATAGGAAGAATTGAGGGTGGAACTGTAATCTCCCAATCGTTCTAGCAGTATTGTGTCGCGCAGGCGACTAAGAGAGATCAGTCTATAATTCTACGAGTCTCACTGTCGTTACCATGCCCGTTGTAGTATTCTACTATTGTAGGAAGATCGTGTTGCTGAGAGGTTGCTCTATGTTACATTGCGATGGGTGGTGTTGCTGTTGGTTATCATGTAACTGGGTCCTTCACGTTACACCGTAGCGTGTTTGTGACTGGAACACGTTACGGTTGGTCGTACTACCTGTAAAATAAGCTATCTATGTTCATGTTTCATTTAAATGTCTAATAAAGGAAGGTGGTTACCCGTATTATAAGAAATGAAACTAGTTATTTGTAAGAACTTAGAAAACTTATTATCAGACGTGATGTGTATTATATTTTTACCCGCCTGCCCCAGAGGGAGGGTAACGTTTTTCAAATGTATGTTTGTATGTATGTATATTTATTTGGCATGCTCTGTACCCTAAACTGTTTGATGAGTTTTAATATATGGAGTGTCGTTTGTATCGTTTTAGTTGTGAAACTGACATAGGTTATAAAATGTTTCTCTTTGTAATAATCTTTTTACGCAGTAGAGATTAATTACTGTTTTAACCTTTGGACTTGTTTAAATATGGAACAATAATTGAACCAATAAATTATATCATAGTATATACTACATACTACATAAGTACTGTTACTAAAATATAGTTAGAACTATAATCTAAATAATAAACATAATACCTATTAGTTACCGTGTGCATATAATAAGCGTTCCATATAATTTACAACGGAAAATTTGTGAATTTGTTTAGGTACGTTATTTCATAGTTAAATGTTTGATATGTCATTCAATTTGTCTGCTAACTGTACTTATTTACTTATGGGCGACACAAATAAATAGATAACTTTAATAGTAATCTGTTTCCAAACATTTTCCATTTTATAATTTCGCAATCAATATACAAACAGGAGAACGATATAAATAACATGCTCGCTAAATAACAGTAATAATAGAATTCCATCATTTCTTATCTTTGGAATGACTTAACGTTATTTATATTTATGTAACACAAACCGGTTTTGTACAAATTCTAAATAACATTGGCTTAGTCAAAATCGTCAGTTCTCGACGTCATATTTTAATGATAATTTTTTTCCAAGTAATATACATCACATTAATATATTACCAATATACTTAACATAAGAATTCCATAAATTAACTTATAATTCAAATATAAATAAAATTGAAGTGTCTATAATATTGAAATAACTGACTTCTATTAAGGTCGGGGGGTTATTTGCATATAATTTTTTTATAAAATAAAGGTGACAAACGAGCACACAGTCCACCTGATAGTAAGTGGATGCTATGGCACATATACGTATACATTTATCCTCAATTAAGAATCAAAATGCAGATGCGTTATCACTCTTTAGGACTAAGATGGAATGCCTTGCTTCCAGTAAAAAGGGTCTCCAGTTCTTTACACTCACCATACGAAACACAGTAGCATTAAGCTGTCATTTTACGCTGGTATTCTGTGAGAGCGTTGTCCTACCTTGGTCGAGCCGACCCAATTGTGCTACAACCATAATTTAGCTGTAGCATGGCTCTACTACATTTAAAAAAGGTTAGGTAATAAACCAATACTTAAAATTTTGTCTGTCACTAAATCTGTCTGTCTGTCAGTCTACCTGTCTGTCTAAGCTTATCTTCTAAATGGCTCAACTGATGGTAATGAACTTTTTGAACTGATAGAATGCAACAATGCCAGGTGGGATCTAGGCTACATTACACCGGAAAATTTTGAGCAAAAATCTTGACGGTAACTTAGTGCGCAATGTATTAAGGCTGCTGAGCTCGTCTAGTGGTATACATGGAAGCCTTTGATTAACGTTAACTTTATTTTACCTGCCTTTACGGCTTTTTTATATTTTTCCACACACCTATGGCACAGGTATTTTCAAATAACATTCCCCTCCTTTTAACTAAATACTAAAAAAACCGTCCATAGAATTTCGATTTTTAGTCGAGGACCCCATTTCACTTAACCAAGTAAGACAAGCAGGAAGACGATGGATGCAGGTGGCTCGGGACTGTACTTTGTGGTATTCCTTGGGGGAGGCCTACAGTGGACTTGTGAAGAGCTGTAATGATTGAATGAATGAATGAACTCCACTTCAGCATTCACTTACTAACAGGTGGACCGTTTGTCATCCTTACGTCTATAAATAGCTTGTTTTAAAATAAAAATCCACGTTTTGTGTTTAACGATTGTTACGACATCTTTTATTTTTAACATTCCATGACACGTGGTAGAGCCATGCTGCAGCTATATTAATAGTATAGTTGTAGCACGAAGGGGTCGGCTCGACCGGGGAAGGACCATGCTCTCACAGAAAACAAGCCTAAAATGGCAGCTTAGTGCTGCTGTGTTTCGTATGGTGAGTGTAGAGAACCGGAGACCTTTTTTTAGGAGAGATTTTACTGGAAAAGAGGCATTCTATCTTAGTCCTCATGGCTGACAACGCATTTTAATTCACAAACGAGGATAGATGCAGATGTCTATGGGCTACAGCAACCACTTAGCATCAGGTGGACTGTGTGCTCGTTTGTCACCCTAATTCTATTAAAAAAAAACAAATTCCCTCATTCTTTTTTTATGACGGAGGTAATGACACTACCATGTTTTATTGTGTTTATACCTAAGCAAATTAGAATGTATCAAAGCTTAACCAATCATTTAATTTTAGTAAGGTCTATTCACAATTAATCGCTTGCGTTACAACGCATATTGAAAATAAGGAAAAAGTACACCTTTTGGCGTATTAGTATTAATGTATTTTTAATTAAAAATATTAAAATAAAATACTTTTAACCAACATTTTTAACAAGATCTCGTTCAAAATATAAGATTGTATTTATACGTGGTAAGGCCATGCTGCAGCTATATTATGGTTGTACTCGTAGCACGAATGGGTCGGCTCAACCGGAGTAGGATCACGCTCTCATAGAATATCAGCGTAAAATAGCAGCTCAATACTGCTGTGTTTCGTATAGTGAGTGTAGAGAACCGGAAACCCTTTTTACTGGATAGGAGGCATTCTATCTTAGTCCTCAGGGGTAACAACACATCTTTATTTGGATTCTTAATCGAAGATAGATGTAGATGTATATGGGTCACAGTTACAACTTACCATCAGGTGGACTGTGTGCTCGCTTGTCACCCTTATCCTATAAAAAAAAACAATGTACCATAATTATAACGAAAAGTTCATAATCAAAAAATCTTTATTTCTTGAATCCACTTTAATTATTCAGGCACTTGTCACACCGCCGTCGAGGAAGCGATTAGCTATGGATTATTTTCTCACTCAAGAAACCAACAATATTATCCGGTGTCAATAAAAGAGATACATATTTTAATAGTTGTTCGCTGGCTGTTCACACTGCCGGTCAGAACACACGCCGAGACAACAACCAGCGGTCAATTTACTCTACAGTGCGGATTTGAGTGCACTCACTTATAGCCCAACGACAAAGCTATCAGAACTACACTCTCGCTTCTCGCTGCTCGCCAACTCTTATCTAGATTCGAGCTCTACTCGCTTCTCGTTCATCGTGGGCGGTCGGACAAGTGTCTGACCTTAATAACTTAAACATGTAAAAAGTATGAAATGTCAATTATGACGTGTGTACGCCCATTGTGGTCCCGCACAGAATATAATCGGGAAATAGCAGGATATTGCGGTTGTGTTTCACATGGTTAGCAATGAGAACTGGAAACTTTTTACTAGAAACGAGGCAGTGCTCAAGTGGTGACAACGCATCCACATATTTTTTTCCCTCTTTATCGATGTTATTAGTATGTGCATTGCTGACAGGTGGGCTGTGCGTTCATTTTGCATAATTTCTTCTATAAAAAGAAACATATGTAGATGCTACATATAACAACCTTTTTTATATAGAATTAGGGTGACAAACGAGCACACAGTCCACCTGATGGTAAGTGGTTGCTGTGGCCCATAGACATCTGCAAAACACTGCAGTATTAAGCTGCTATTTTACGCTGGTATTCTGTGAGAGCGTGGTCCTTCCCCGGTCGAGCCGACCCATTCGTGCTACAACTATACTATTAATATAGCTGCAGCATGGCTCTACCACGTTTAAAAATACTCATAACCTACCAATAGCTAGCCACGTACAGTTTTATTCATAGTATTAACGTTCTTGTACATGAAATGGATTGTTTAGTGGCAGTGTAAGAATATTCACTACCTCATAGAATCCAATGGGTGTCATGAGAGGCGACAGACATGAGGGAACTTAATCACAAGATGGATAGCGGCGTCTTTTTAAAAAGAAATAAAAAACTGCGGTTGCCACCCCGCCTGCCAAGTGCTTGCAACGATAGGAAATACCTCCCCAGTGAGACAATCCATGGGGGAGGACTTTGTTTATTTAACTTTTGATATAATATAATGGTAACTTATAATTGACTTACTTCAAAACAATCTGAAACGTACTCTTCTATTTCAGGTAAAATGAGCTCTCTAATAAGCATATCAGAAGCTCTAGTACCTGTCATCTACTCCCCCGTGTATAGTAAAGTTTATCTCAGCACTTTGTCTACGCTTGCCGGCGCATTTTACCTCATCAGCGCGGCGTTGGCTGTACCAGCGATTGGAATATTTTTGTAAGTTCAACTGTTTTTTAATTAACGGTTTTGGCATAATTTTCTATCTACTTGAACGCATAGTTGCAGCAGGAAGTTCGGCTTTTCTTTCTTTTTTCATCTTTTTATTTTAAATTTATAACTTGACAAAGACATTTCCAATAACAGTATGCATGTTTTTTAAATGACTTGATAAATATATAGTTTTTAAAAAAGCATTTATTTAATAACCGATTCCAATTTTTCACTAACCGCGGATGATTATTCCAAATTGATTAAGTTAGAAAGCTTGGGATTCGTCGGGATAAAAGTTCACAAAAATTAAGATAATTAGGTTTACAGGTATATTTTTTTCTTGACTTGAACTGAGCAGGATCAAAAACTCAAGATCGAATACACAATCATGTATATTTACATATATATAATGGCCATAATTATCACAGATATATTTATATGATAGCCTCGAGGGTCTTGTACCACAAGACGAAACCAAGTTCAAACGTGGTTGTTGATAATGAGGTCCCAGGTTCAAATCGCATGTCGGGCCAAAATCAGGAATGGGGTTTTTTTGTCAAGAAATTCTTGGTAGCAGCCCAGAGTCAGAACATTGGCGGTGTTTAACCCCAGTGCCTACGAAAGCACGTAAAGCCGTGCGTCCTTTACCTGATCTCTCTCCAGTTGTGTCGGATTACCGTCCTATCAGACTATGAGAGTGAGGGAATAGAGTGCGCCTGTGCTTGCGCATTAACTCGGGCACTATAATCTTGTCCTATGCAGATTTTCCAAAATCCTAATTTCGGTCTGAAGCACATTGTTATTACGGCTAAAAGCCGAAGTGCTGGCCTTGGTTTAGCCTACTACTTGAACTCTTTTAACTACAACTACTTAATTTAATTTTAATTATAACTACTATATAAAATTGTCAAAATTACGAAAGCATGTATCAATTCTAGCAGCAATTTCTAATTTCGATGTAACGTCTTTTACCAACACTAATAATAATTTATCCTTGCCTGGCGGTAAATAAAAACATCGAAAGGAAAATGAGAGATAAAAAATATATGAAATAAATTAATTCGTGAATATTTAATGACAATGTTTTAAAAACTGGTATTCTTAATATGTGCGTGCTTAGATATTTTGTCAATACAAAAAAGGTTACCCATAAATCAATTACCACACAGATCTTAATCACCGCTTAACGGCGGTGAACTAATGTAGACTTCCTTCTTGCGACTACAGTTATTGTAGAGGTCTCGCATCTTTGGCGCTACTTAACGTCGCTGATCTAACTAAACTAAACACTAAATATAATCGAGATAGTTATACCGTGATTGTAGCTCTAATGTATTATTATACCTTATATATTGTCTTACTATTTGAGAGTCGTGCAATAATTTGTCTTTTATCGTAATCGTCATAAATCATCATCATCATATATTATTTTGTATCAATATGTTAGTTTATCCCACCTCACTGCATCACGCCGTCGGTTAAATAAAATATTCAGACATTTTAATAATATTACAATTTTTTGCGAGGAGCGTAGCATTGACATATAAGTAATAAGTTGGTTCATCCCAACTTACACCCGTCGGATAACTTATTTTAAATAACGAGGTTTGTCCGTGTCTCGGACAAAAGTGGAACGGAGCTGTATGCATAAATGATAATATTTGATACTTTAAATAAAATGTCTTAGGTAACTATAAATGTATTATTATTTTCCAATAAACACGTCGAATATCTTATTGCTCTTAAATATTAAAAGTTAAAGAAAAAACCAACTTTAAATTTTAATAGACAAAAATTTATAAATAAACAGATATGAAAACATGAAATTCATGTTTGGAAACACCATGACTCATATTTCACTAGCAGTCGATACACAAATCTCAACATTCAAAATATACCATGCTCTATGCCGTTTACAATGGGTAACGCTGACGTATTTATTTACATGCAGTAAATGAATTAGTGAGTTTATGAAAAACTTTATTTTTTTTAATAAACTACAAACACGTAGATGAATCTATGAACTGTTCCCACTACGTAAATTATCTATGCTAAGCTTAATCTATTCTATGTATTATATTACAGCCTATAAAAGTCTACTGCTGAACATAGGCCTCCCCATAGATTGCTTTATTGCCCCATATTTTGCCATAGTTGCCACGCTTGGCAGGCGGGTTGGTAGCCACAGTTTTTTTTATTTAGCGACACCTACGGGCCGATATGGGTATTCCTACACCGCCACCACACTGTTAAAGCTTAATCGATTAATTAGTTTCAGAGAAGAAAGCAATAAAAATTACACCAAAGTCAGGGATAGGAATGCTCCGTCCCAATAAACAACATTAACTTAATAAGTTGCCCGAAGGTATAAGTTGGTTTTACCCAACTTATTATTATTAATCAATTTATGTTATTTATTATGCTTTTCGCAGGAAATTAAGTAGTATTTAAATATTTCTTTATACTTTAAAGCTTATTTGTGATGAAATACTAGAGCTCTAATCATTATTGTAGGTAGCTTTGAACCATTTCCAGTGCCGAACCCCTGAATTTGCCATTAGAATTTTAATTTCGGATTTACCGTGCTTTGAAGAGTTTTTGTTTCTAGGCGACCGGTCTTGCAAAACTTAGCTCCAACCGCATAAATGTTACGAGTGTGCCGTCTAACATCATTTACTGTACTATTAGACACGAAAAGCGAAATTAATTTTACACATCGCATACGCTGAAGTATTTTGTCATTGTTACTGACGTAAATAAACTGTAGATCAATTAAAAAAACAACTTCGTCGGAAATTACGACTTAATATTCATTACTCTATGGTAGGCCCGCAAGGAGTCATACTCAACACGGTTCTGATCTCCCTGCACTCATCGATTCCCTGCATGTCTTACGAGGTACTAGTTTTTCCATCTAGTGTCTTAGAGTTTAGAACAAGAGTATAAAACCAGTGCGTTTTATATGAATATGGCCCTCACCAAGAATCGTAAGAAGATGACCTCCCCCCCCCCCTACATTTCGCTTATCAGTTGAGGCTGCCTATTGTAAACCTTACTTCCTTATCGGTAGTCCGTTCTTCGGGCTATATACTAGCTAGTTAGCTACTAACTCATAGGTCTATGTTAGTTATTCTGTTTTAACTGCTGACATCATCATTGTGTATTCTATCATGCAGAGAGCCGGGCATAGTATCCTGAGTAACTGAGTATTTAAGCATCCTCATACAGCCATCAGTGAGGGCCATATCCATATAACGCACTGAGTCTGCATTCTTTTTCTAAAATGTATCTGCACAGACGAGTTAGATCCGTCAATTAATCTCTTAGTCGAAGTCGGACTTACCTAGTCGGATATCAAATTCAAGCGTGTGACATCAGACACGATTTTTCTATTTTTGACATGATTTTAAGACACATCCGCGAGGAAACACCACAGACATCTGAAATTATTGCATGTGATTGTCAAATATTTTCCGACATCGTGTGATGGCGCTGAAAGAGAATTCATCATGTAACATCGCCCCATGGATGTTGCAAGAAGCGACTATGGCAAAGGTTGGAAAGACCTCATGATCTCTGATAGACCCTGATATACACTCTCGCATGCCAAATGTAAAACCGGACCGCAAAACGGTTACTGCGATCCCCATTCAGCCTGCGAAGTGTGGCGAATGCGGCAAATTCTTCCCGCACTAAAAGAGGTTTGTCTAGAAAGGTATAGAAAGATAAAAAGAAACGAAGAATTGTTAAACAAATCGATTTGTAAGTCCTGATCATGATAGATCCCGCATACTTTCACGTTGTCTATCGTTGCAAGACAGATGAAATTTCGAAATCAGAGCAAAAAGCGACCTTGCGGTCAAGCCGAAATTTTGTCAACACAAAGCAATAATCGACGATTTCTAATAACAATTTTGACCTTGAACCGTTCCTTTTTTATATCGTATTAACTGGCCAGACGGACTTGGTTCTGTCCTTTCCAATGACCCTTTGTCCTTTAAAAAATCTTTTAATTCGCAATGAAAAATATTGAGGGTCACTTATTGGAATGATTAACTATCCTATCTCTCAAGTTGGAGCAAGCAATACATATTTACAAAATTTCATGAAAAGCGGTTGAGTGGTTTCGGAGTTCATTGCGGACAAACCATGTAACACTTCTTTCTTTATATAAAGATAAACTATTTCATACACAGTTAAACCAGTACCTATAAATGACCTGTTTAAAAACGTTCGTAGGATGATATGCCCTTAAACGAGTACCTGGGCTACCGAGCTTTGGTAGGCGTTAGAAAGAAATATCTCAGGAACCAATGAGACATAACTAGATAAATACAAAATTTAATCAAAATCGTTAGAGTCGTTTTCGAGAAACCACTTACATATTATAGTTATTACCACTTACATACTAGCGATCCGCCCCGAGTTCGCATGGGTGATTTTTGTATCTTAACAAAAGCGCCACTACTGGGTCCGATTGTGAATCTAAACCATCCAGGGACCCCATTGAAAAACACAAAAAAATATACATATAAGAGCTTTTTAGCCAGAGCAATTTTAAAATGTGTTTTTTTTTAATTAAAGCCCCCCCCCCCCCCCCCCCCGCGGGTGGAATTTCGTAAAATTAGCTGATTTCTACTACGACGAAAGGAATATTCCTACCAAATTTCAAGACTCCATCAGTAGTATGTACTACTGATGGAGTCTTGAAATTATATATAATATAAGAGATTTCCACCTATGTAGGTGGAAATCTCTTATATGTATATATAATACAAAATACACAAGAATTTCTCACTTAAAGTATTGGATATTAGAACTGGGAAAGAAACAAGTCCACTCATTTTTAAAAGGCCGGCAACACCTGCAATTCCCCGGTGATGTAGTTGTATATCGGCGCCAATAGCCACTTACCATCAGAAGAGCTGAATGCTCGTTAGCTCTATCTTTCATCAGAAAATAAACAATGCACAATATTCATTCATTAGCATTATTTTATAAAAGGA